AATAATATACAATAATTTATGTCATTAATTAAATAATTAATTTAATTACAAAAAACCTCTAATCAAAAAACCGAAATTCGTAAATTAATGAGATGTGAAATAGGATTTATACAAAATACGTTAAACATTCGATATTTATTCATTCCATTTTTGCACTCGTTCATTCAGTTACAACATGATCCAATTCTGCTACTATTACAGCAATGGGAACATAATTTTCTTTACAATATTTTTCGGAATTCTTTTTCTATGAAATTTTATTTAAAATCATTCTGTAAGTATTAATGTCTATAAAGCGATAATAAGCTCACTGAACTTGATCTTTCTCCCATCAATAGGCGCTACGGCTAACAAAAAGTTAAATTTAAGTGGTACACGATATTTACGGATTCAATTACGCAAATTTAAACTGATTAGTCAGTCAATAATACAAATTTTCATATATTACAAATGATAACTAGATTCATACACCAATCTTAGATGTTCTCAGACATTCTCAAATTCAAATTTTTTTAAGTATATTTATTGTTTCAAAATTTAATATGTAAGAAAACTAAAAAAAATTTGAAACTATGAATTACAATTTATAGAAAATATATTTAGATATATTTTATGTGAATAAGATGCTATGTTTTATTCACATAAATAGTGTTATACTTTTGTAATAGATCGTGTACCACTTTATATCACAACATATAAAGCTGGTTGCATTTATTTACAGAAATTTCGTTCTCTTTACAATATGTTATTGTAATATAGTCTTGTAGCTAATATTTACATCTGGATTCCAGGAGCTCCTGAGAGTTGTGACATAGAATATATATATCGTTCATATCAAAGGATAAGGTAAGGTGTAACACTTAAATTAATTCCCAAAATTCGATTGTATCATTGAGCGGACATGGGACAACGTTGAATTTTCTCACGTCAATATAAATATATGTAAGTTGTAATCACTTGATATTTCAAATAATACGCCGTTTTTTCCCGCAAAACCTGTCATGCGCAAAGATGCACTTGCAGACGCTCCATTTTTCTGAGCCGCGAATTTTGAATTACTATCAAATTACTGTCATCTAAGCAGTCATATGAACAGTAAAAAGAGAGATATAAATAATATGTCGCAAAAATACTTGAAATATTTTCAGTGAGAAAATATAAATCTTTTGAATCTAAATTTCTTTCTGCATAAATTATTTTATAAATGTCTTTAATTTAAAGAACTTGATTGCATAATTATGTAGGAACGTTACAGTTTTATTTATAATAAACGAAAAATAGTACTCATTGAGATTTAGTTTGAACTAATAGGACAATGCAAAAAAAATCAAATGCCTTTCTTATCTGGAATTTTATCCCGATACGCATGTCGGTGATACATAACTTCATTTGCAGGAATATTCACATATATAAAAACGTCGACAACTACTCACACTCTTATTCTTTACGCTCTTGAAGGTACTTAACTATATACAAAATCATTCTTATCGATACAATTAGTACAACGACAAGAAACGTCCATACGATCGTAACATTATTTACAAATATATGCAAGTGAATTGTTTTCTGGAAATTTACAAGTCCTGGTTGTTTCGTTGCATTTTATGCACCGTTTTCAAGCCACTCTTTGAGTCCCACACACATCACACACTAATTTCTATCCTTACATAATTTATACACTTAGCTTAATAGATCGATTAACCCTTTGCACTTACATTCGAACAGAGATATGATTGTAATAGATGGCACGTATAATCAAAAATGTTTTATAATTTTGCTAGTTGCCAGGACGTCAATCATAAACTGGCAGACAATGTTTGGAGCTTCATACGACTCACTGTTCAGCCACCAACCTGAGACCAACACCGCTCTGGAGTACCGGTCGTGGGGATTCGAAAGAATACATGTATATATGTATATATTGTAATGTATATATATATATGTATCATTGTATTGTTGACGTGTTATTCTAAACACGTTATTTGCGATAAATATCATCACATGCCTCGGTAGTCGAAAGGATAAGATGCCTGCCCGGTAAGCAGGAGATCCAGGTTCGATTCCTGGCTGAGGTGATATTTTTTCGCAAAAATAATTACGAGTTTTCACGACTGGTTCGTGGTCGGGCCCCGCCGTGACGCACACCCTCCCTTCTTATTTGGGTAAACCGGTTTATATTTTATTTCATATTTTATTTGTGATAAGCGTTTTACTACAATGGTTTTGTATGATTATAAGTGGCTGGATTTGGATTTTTTTTGTTAATGCATTAAGAGTGCAAAGGGTTAATTATTTTCTCTACATTAAGTGGAATCAAATAAATCATCAGGTATATGGTACAAGAATAATTCTTAAAGAATAGTTTCAATATATTATCTGAGTAATGAGACCTTGTGCAAAATCAATAGATGGAAATATTGATCGTACAATGTTCTAAGATTTCGAACTATTACTGAAATCAAATTTCAATTATTATTTTTAAATTATCAATTGATATTACAGTTACATTTTCTACGCGTACTTTACTAAAATTACTGGCGATTGTTATTTATCAATTGAATAGGCCGAATTTTGTCGATACGATGGAAACGCGAGAATTATTAGTATTTAATACATATCTTACAAGAAATTTCCGTCCCCGTTTCAAATCTGAATGTAATATCTTCTCAGGTATTACAGAATTGTGTGAAATCTATATAGGACAAAAATACAACAAATATCGTGACATGTACAACGTTAAAAGAACACGTAGATAACTCTAAATCTTTTGAAAAATATTGTTGCAGCGATATAATTGCGATTCAGATACGAGTATCAGATCTTTCGGTAAGCCGCCCACACATAAAAAAAAAATCAGCAAACGCCTTTGAGGGAAATTGGGAGATCTCATTTTGTTAATGATGCGCGGGATTTGAAAGCCTCTCTGCCGACAGAAGAAAGATTGGAGAGAGAGGGATTTGGTGGTGAGGGTGGAATCAGATAAGGAAAATGGTCGTCACGCCGTCGTCATTCCCAGGATACGTCCGATAGCGGTGGCTTCAATGAAAATTCGCTGACACGTCAAAAGAATCTGGAATTATCATCGATCGCTTACGAAAGCCAGAGAGAACTCTGATAGAAATTAAAGGTACACAAACGATTCGCATTTCAACTTGAATGAATAAAAAGAGAGAGAGAGAAAGTAACATTTGTTGATAATCATAGTTAACGTAGTTACATTATCGCATGAATTACGTTAATTATGTTTGTTTATCCCGTAACCTAATTGCTAAGTAACTTAACGTCGATAGCAAGAGACTTTTTCTTTAAACTACATGCAGCGTTGGTAAATTTTCACACAAATCACTCAAAATGCATTTCTTCAGATTGGTCGAAAATAGAATAATCAATCTTGTCCGCTTGATATTTTTCGCAGATCTTGTTTTTGCCGACCTAAGGGTTCTTGCGCAATAATCCGAAAAAAACTGGACGAGAGAGAAGAGGAGGTGGCGCAATTTATTATAAAGATCTAATGACGAGTGTCGCCCGTCTGACGAAGGCAAGATAAGTTCATAGTTCCACTTTGATAATCATCTTTCGGTATTCTTCGTCGTTAATAGATGTGGATCATTCGATGAGGTTGCGATATTCACTTTCCCTTAATTCATGGATTAATTGATCCCTTGTGCGGTGAGGAAAGATTGCAGATTTTATGCTGCAGCTGGAAGGACTCGATCATCCCCACGCCGCGATGACTACGACAGGGCGGAAAGCACTATTATGCAAATTGCTGCGCTGGATCGCGTCACGCAATGCCACGTGCTGCTTTTAGACGACATCGACTGCGCCGTATTGTCGATTCTTCGCTGGCCGATGTCGTCGTCGATGCTTTTGCGGCCGTTAGAATCGATGACATTCTCGACTTCCTCGTGACTCTCCTCGTGGCTTGGCCTACTACGGAGCCGTGTTTCTGTGAAATGATCAACAACGATATATATTATGCGGATTTAATAATATATTACGCGATGATATTAAAATTACAAACGATACGATGAGATATTCGTTCGCGCGCGCGTGATACACGTGGAATATTCAAAAGCGAGAGGAAGCTGAGGAAGCGAGAACTCGGGGAAAAATATTACTTTACAGTTCCCTCTACTTTCGGATAACGGGAGACACGATGGAGCTTTCCAATCTTCTTGTCGTATATATTACGTATTCTTCCTAGAAACATTGCTTATGCTAGACGTCGACGTTAGTGCACTCTCGCGTTATCTTTTGCGCTTAGTAACGCTTTCATTGTCCGCCCGCTGCGGAAAGATCGTAAACCAGATCGCATCCAACTCACTGCTCTTTGAATTGCCCGTGCGACTTGGCTCATACCCGCCAGTTTACATGATAATCGAAGCAAGTTGAGATACCAGCGCCGTAGTCCCGGGTGCAGATTACTTGCCATAGTTGGGCCGAGCGCGGTAGTTCATAAACCGCATGGGATTTCATCAAAATCCCGTCGAGAGTTCCGCGTTTGTCGTGGCGGAGGACGGCAGAAGGAAGAGACTTGGATATGGCAGGGCGGGGGAGGAGGGGGGAGGGGGGGGAGCGGGGGAGGACTCCGAGGCGGCGTGGCACGTTGCTGGAAGTTTTGCGGAATAAACTTCGCGCCTTCCGCGAAACTTTCCGTAGGAAAGTTCCCCACTGCCCGGCGGCGTGTAAGTTCTCGCATTACGTCGAGGGCGATGATTTAAGACGACGTATCCCAGCGAATTTCGGGTCGCGGCAACGTATTTGCGGAAACTGACGTGTTTTCAAGCGTTCCTCCACGCTGATCGCGTAGATCAACATTTTATTGCTTGAATTATGAATGTCTGGCCATATGTACTGTGAGCAGGACACGTAAGCCCGATACATATAAATCCGTCGTCTCGCCGTGGCGAGAAAAGAAATTTGAATTTTGTAAACACACGCGGGGAAGATTTTATCTATCGTAAAATATTAGGATATTTTCTCTTCTGAAACATTTTACTTTAAAAAACAACTGTACAGCGAGCTGTATCGATATGCCGTATCGGTTATTTGAACGCAGAGCGCGTATGAAAGATCATTACAAAGTAAGATAATCGAATTATCACGTGTAACGTTAATCACAGTTAGCGAATAATGGAGATCTGCGATCTGCTAGGGTAATACAGGTCTCCCGAGGCAACCTGGTTTCCATTGAATTCCCAGCGCAGTTGTCAAATCTCACCTTCGTCGCATAGTCGGCTAATCTGATTTTTGTTTCCTCTAAAAGTTTTGCGAGGTTTGCACAGTCGCAGCTTTGAATATTCAAACTTGTTTCGACAACACCGCAACTGTCGCCAGCGCGCACAATTGTAGCGACGGTGATGCAGAGTCGGAATTGCCACTTATAATGTTCGTTGTATTAAAATGACGAATAGACAAATAAACTTTTGCCGTCGTAACGGGAACGCGTGTAACAAAATCATAATTTCCGCTTGCCTCGAAATTTCATTTTCTACGACTGCATTTTTCACGACTGAGGTGTCAAGATTCTCAATTATTTTATGTCGAGTTATGTTAAGTTAATTATTTACATCATCATATACATACTGTGTATATTTAGCAAAGATACGTATTTAGTATTTTAAAATTATAATTTCGGATTAAAGAAACATCAGCGAAGCGTTTCTTCTATTTAAAATCTATCTAAGATATCTCGTCGTAATTAAAAACTAAGTTAAGCAATAATTTTTTGTCGGTATAAAGCGTTTAAATAAAAACGCTTATACTTATTTTCCCGAGGCTTCAAGCGTCTTAGCGCGAAAATCTGTGCTGGTAAGAGCAAAAGAAAAAAAAGCTTGAAAAAATAATAGAAACCGAGCATACCTTCGCTTCTCACGACGGTAGACAAAGATGCGTCGGTTATTTCATTAGAGTTCGGCTCTAAACTGGGCACGGGCTTTTGTCGCGACCACTGAATATTCTCCACTAAAAACAATATTTTTCTCGTTAGTTATCTGCACCGATTGTAGGATTGTAGGATTAACAGAGAAAAGTACGAAATGATTAACTTAAGTACCAAAATGATTAACTTAAGTAATATGTATTATTGTAAGTGGTGCGCAGAAATGTAATTGTTTAATCATTGATAATGAAATTATTTTACCTGGTTCCATGATGGTAGGAACGGGTATTGTGCTCGTTGTTGTCGGTTCCGTGGTAGGTGTTGGTATATCTGTCAAAACGTGTAATACGCATTAATATTTTTTTTTATTCGATATAAATCTATCTTAAATAAAACTATAACCGGGATATATACGCCATGTTTATAAATTTTCTACGTATAAAAATTAGATATCGCAACAACGAGGATATGTATCAATGTGAAAAACTGTGTAGACTACGTGCAGTCTGCGCGATTTTACCGTTGAATAAAATAGGATAGAGTTGTGCGGGACAATATTTCGCCGTGTTACCATTATTGCATTCCTGCAGAGTAAATATTCGATTGAGTACGCTGGTATTTGCAAATAAATTTCAAGCTGCTGCTTTAATATCGTTTAATGCGAAACAATTAACGCTAATGAATAATGAAAAACTTAAATAATCAATTGCGATATGAAGACCGTTTACGCGCCTACTGCTTTGAAATATCTCATTTAAAAGTAAATAACAATCGCGTGAACAAATTAAAAAACATTCTCTCCAGCCTCGTTTGGATAAAGTTAAGCAATTAAAACTAGTAACACTCGCGAATGCTCGGTGGCCATTGTAGCAACTTTCGGCATGGATTGAAAGGCCGGCATGGATTTAAAATGCTAATGCGCATTAAATCGTCGACACAATCGAACGCTTATTTAAGCGGCTTAGCAGTAATCCGCCGATTCGGCGGTCGCAGTAAAGCACAAAGCTGGGAAGTTCAATCTGCGGGCGCGCCAAGGCGAAACCTACAATTACTGATCGATAGATAGAATCGGGCTTCTTTTTGCGCCGCAAAAGAGGGAGGGGGAGGGGGGGATAAGGGCAAAGGGTTGGGGAACGCAGATCGGCGCGCTCGCGGTTATCGGTGATTCGCTACTCGCACCGCTTTCCCGGAAATGCGGATTTGCGGGGGGAGACAGACACGGCTGACTTTCACGGCGCTCCTTATCGTGAGAGGATGAGAGCTTGCCTTTGATACCGAATCAATGAAAAGTTTGCGGAAAATGCCGGCGTACTATGTCTATTCGCGGACGATGATTGATATGAGAATCGTTCACTCTCGGTGAATCATCCTCATCGTGCGGAAACGCGCTGACGCAATTTCACTCAACGCCTCGTTACGGAGATCAAATCGCGTTCGATTGCGGAGGGAAGATTTCTCACGGGTATAACGATTCCGTTCTCCGTGATTTGCACTACGAATATCGTTATCGTATTTTTTCGCGGAGACGTACACGTGCGCTAACCATAAAACATGTTGACTTTGAACGCTCCCCTCGCGACTTTTTTATTCGGCGCTCCGTATGCATTCAGTCGTTCGAACGTTTTTCCTCGCCGATCTCGCCTCGTTTCTAGAAAGATTCCGGTTATCGGGAGGATTGGCACTAGCTACCGTCGGAGTGTCACTTTTCAAACCTTCCTCCTCCCTCAAGCTTACACACGATCCTGGTACATCACGCTCGTTGTCTTTGAAAGAACCGCGCTCTCGTTTTATCGCGCTCCCTGATTCGCTCCCGTCGGATGCTTAATTTCTCATCCGTCGGATGTTCTTCATCCGCGCGACTAACGATTTCTGATAACGCGCGGCCGAGGAGGGAGGAAAAGGAGTCGCGGAGAAACGAAAGAAAATGCAACGACCGCGCGACCGATAAGGGACCGCTTGACAAATGTTCGAAAACCGGCGCGAATCGATATTGGCTCTCGCCGCGGTCGAGATATACGTCCGCGATAAATCATATATCACGTTAATATAATATTACCATCGTAACTTCGTTGAATCACTTTTTGATCGCTCCCGCGCAAATTGTGCGATCAATTTGATAATATAATGCGATCGCACGTGGGTTGACATGGGTCGTCAAATCTCTCGCGAGATACGGATAATCCAGGACAGAGGATAATCCCGTACAGTGGAACACATCGTCGAGGAAAGTGACGAATAAGAGAATAATGAGGAAATTAATCATCGCGCAAAAATAAGAATAATAATACGCGTCGAAATGTACAATTAAAATATAACAATTTATCAAAAGGCTTGATACGGGATAAAGAATAAAAGCATTACATCCATCGGTTGATTTACGCATAACCGCTAAAACACGTTTGAGAATGTTAATTTTAATGGGACGTGGGACGTATCGAGGGGTAAGTTTAATTTGGATTAAAACAAGCGGAATCGCTCGTTAATTTGCAAATCTATGCAAATCACAAAATTGTAACGCGGAGAAGAATATAAGCGCGTTTTACGATTCGCATTATAAAATAATACCCCGTTGACTAAATAAAAGTAATTTAAAAATGATGAAAGTGTCATACTCACGATAAAGCTTGATACTGCCATCCGTTTCGCCGAGGGAATTTTTAGATATGCATTTATAACTGCCGTAATCAGACATCGCGACTGAACGTATCATAAGCTTCATGTGTACTTTGTATACGTTATCCGAGAAGGAAGGCTCGTACTTCTCTCCTGCAATTTGACAAATATCGTGAAAATACGTGAAATTTCCCATTTTCCGTTACTTGTAAAATTAATACGGGATATATTTTTCTTTCCACGAAAAAGGAGTGTTGAACGGACAAAATGTTGCACGCGTGAAGTTTCAAATTACAAACTTAACTGCGGAAGCTTAATAAATATCAAGCGAGATAAAAGATGCTTCACGCCTTCTTTGTTCCCGTTAAAATTATGGAATTAGTTTTAATCTACGATGAAAGCAGCTTCCGTTGAAACTGGAACTGGTTTTGCATGGGGAAACCTGGGAGCTCTGATGCAACGGGAATACGTCGCGCATATATACATACGTACGTACTTAGCCCGCAAAGCGAGCATCGGTCTTACATCCTACACGGTCTTACATCCTACACGGTACACAGTATTCACATCGCTGCGAGACATTGCTTCATTAAAATATGACTCATCGCTTTGAGCGAGCTCATTTAAAGCTTAATTTCATTAGCCGCGCTATCGCAGCGACGCTATTGCGTCCGCGCGCGTCGGGCGAGGATTAATTTTTGAAACGTGCAGACGGTTACAAGAGCATGCGCACAATAATTGCCCGATACATCTGGCACGGTATGTCATGCGTTCGCATTATCACGTTTACATCGTTATCGCATGATGACGCGTATTATCGTAGAAAATTGAAAATAGCGGACGTGCCCATGTTTCGATCCGTCGTTCAGCCGGACGGAATATAATGTAACGATATTCCAAAATATATTTGCCAATATTCCACGCTTCCGGTATGCCTTTACACGGTCCACCGTGCTTCGTGCTCTGTCAACCAGAAAAACTAGCATTAGGGTTTCTCGCGTGGTTGCATGTTGCCCTTCGCTCCGCTTATTTCGCGCGCCAGTCTGGCCCATGTGTCCATTTAAATTGTTCCAAATGCTTTGCTTCTCACCTCGTTATTTCTCACAAATCGATACTTGGACGACAAACATATTTTTTTTCGAACTTCGATAGACATATGCATTCTCGTGTAATATATATTTTCTATATTAAATATTAATTCATTAAATTAAAATAAAATATTATTTTGTAAGCTATATTTAATAACTGAATATATTTTTAGAATAACAATTTATCTCAAAACAGAGCTGTCCATTTAAAAGTTCGTTAACAATTGTCATTAAATTTATTAAATATATATATATATATATATGTTTATTTAACAAATTTAATGAATGAGTTAATAAATAATTCCTTAAATAAATAGCTTTGTTTAAATTGTTTTAAACGATATTTCTTTGACAGAAATGATACATTCTTAAAGTTACGCGAACAATCCCATGATGTGAGCAACTGAGGGATAATGAAATAACAAAGTTAGCACCTTTATGGTAGCGAAACTCTATAATTATAGGCATATCACGTGATCACGCACAACACATACGTATAAATTAAAGTAATAAACATACGTATAAATTATTATACATCTACACAAATTACAGTTGTATCTTCCATTTCTAAACGTGGAATTGCATTTCCTAAAAAAAGGCACTGAGAAAGCTTTGTCCGAGCAAAAACGAGATGGTAGTCGAACACGCCAACCAGTCGTTATTTGTCAATAGAGGAGTAAAGTGAAACCAAAATGTGTTATGCGTGATCACGTGACTAATCTAAGACACAATGCCTATAATTATAGAGTCCCGCTATCGTAAAGGTGCTAACTTTGTTTCATTTCATTATCCTTCAATTGCTCACATCATAGGATTGTTTGCGTAACTTTAAGAATGTATCATTTCTGTCAAAGAAATATCGTAAAACAATCGTTCTGATGGTATACTGCAGGTTGGAGAAGCGGCATTAACGTTTCGATTCTTCTCGATAACGTCTCGGTGGATGAAAAGTGGCGTGGCAAGGACCGAGGCGGGGCGCGCGAATGCAGAAAGAAGTTTTGATTAACAATTCGAGATGGTGGCGCGTTCGGAAGAGAGTGAAATCTATAGGTGTAATGACCCGCGGCAAGGCGGAAGCGAAGTATTTTCCCAGCCGGGAGGAAAACTTACGTCTCTCCGAGATAGAGAAAGAGAAATGTGTGGAGAAAAGGATCGAGAAGGAAGAGGAGGAAGAGGAGGAGGAGGAGGAGGAGGAGGAGGAGGAGAAGGAGGAGGAGGAGGAGGAGGAGGAGGAGGAGGAGGAGGAAGGAGGAGGAGGAGGAGGAGGAGGAGGAGGAGGAGGAGGAG